GAGAGCAGGTAAAAACGGCGCTTAAGGGAAAGTGCACTTGTGTTAGAGGGAAGACTATTTTCCTCATTCTAAAAAGAACAATTGCCAGTACTCTTTACCTGTCTAGTGCCCAGGAACAGGTGTCAGAATGACCTACAGTGTCATCGTTGTTAATTCGAAGTTTTATTATTTATCTGCATTCTCTGGAAGAGACACTTATTGGACATAATTACTGGTGTTGTGTAGGCAAAATGTCCCTAAAGGTCGCTGACAGATTTTAATGCTATCGAGTGTGGCTTGCCGGTCTGGTAACGGAACTTGTGACTATAGCTAAAATTGACCAAAATAAGCGAGTTAATCGTCCTACTGCCGAGTCAGAAAGAGGGCTATTTCATTTACTTAAACCACATTTCCAAACACACAGTTTCCCATGCCTTTTGCAGCAACAAAACTGGAAGCCGAATACTGATGTAACTTGAAGCAACTTAAACCAGTGTTCGTCACTTAGGACGCATGTGAAGCTTTGTTAGATCTAAAACGTGTAACCGAACGTTCTACGCTTGTCGTAGATTTACTACACAAAACACTTTAATCAGATCAGAGCATGCCCACTACGCATTAGCATCCCGCTAATCGTAAACTTAATTGTATATGACTACTTAGTTTTATCAGTAGCACGTTTTATTAAGCATAGGCTGTGAAGAGAGCAAGCGCTTTCTCACCAGAACTAAGCCAGACCGATAAAACCTGAAATTTAACACTAAAGCAATCAGCATAGTTGCAAAGCAATATTGGAGAGGGCGTCGTCCTCCAGAAAATTTATCCCAACCTGCTATTCATTTTATATATTGCATTACTACTTGGATGCCGGCTTCAATCCGACAAGGGAACAAAACACCAGGTCAACAGCTTACCTTCTTCTCCATTTCCTTTATCTGCACCTCCTGGTTTTCCTCAAAATTCTGCTCCAGTGGCGGGACAACCACATCGACTGCCGTACCGTCAGGTCTTCCGGCCTGATTGGAAAGATCAAGACTATAACGGCCAAGTCCGATGGCAGAGGTCCTGCGGAGGTTGGAAGAGAAACCAGCAGCTCTAACCGACGTCATGGGTCTGTTTCCTGCCGAACTTGTTGGTGTCTCACCGGTAGCCAATGGACGATCTCCTCCAAAAAGACCGGTCCGCAAACGTCCGAATTGTGTACTGGTAAGCCGCTGTGCCGTCCCTGACATTCCCAGGGCGACTGTTTGCTGCAAAATTTGATGCATGGGTTGAAAGGGGT